CGCCGCCGGGGCGAGGGGGACGGGACCGGCCACAGCCCGGCGGGACGCGGGCGAAGGGACTGGGAGACTCGGGCTGGCGCCGGCCGAGGCGTGAAGACGCCGCTCCGAGACGGGGATGAGGATGGCGGCGTCTGGCGTGCTTCTCTCCACCGCCTTCGCGTTGCTGCCGGGTTTTCCTCACCAGTTCTTGAGCAAGAAAAGCAGCGGCTGGCACCCGGGAACGGTACCGGTGACTCTCTAGACTCGTTTTGCTGTGTTCAGGTGTAACGGTGTTGCTGCCAGCCTGCCGAGCCGTCCCGGAGGACGGGATTTTGCCTTATTGCAAAGACAGCTCGATAGCCACGGTCTGGAGTCTCTCCGGCTCTGGGTGGAGCTGGCAGCATTCCGCTTTCCTACCTCCAGTATAGGACCGTGTGGCTGCTGCAGCCTACTTCAAAACGTGAGTGAGACTACGGAGCCGATGAAATGCAATTATTGACTTGCCCATTGCGTGAAAAGCAAGTATCTTAACAGCTGAGGTGCATAGGGCTGACTGACAGTGAAACGCGGAGACTATTTAGGAAAATCTGATCAAGTGTGGGGGTGAACGTTCAAAAGTAGTTAACTGCTATTGGCTCATTTTTTTGCTGACCCCTACACTCTGAACGCAAACTGCATAGTGCAGTCATCAGCCACCTGCGATCGGGGTGGATATGAATACTGTGTCCACTGAACTGCATTTCTTTCTAAGAAACACTTTTAAAATACCATCCAGTCAGTGAAACAAACTTTCCTGGGGCTGTGGGTCACAAAGACTGTAAGAGTAGTCGTCTTGCATGATGATGATAGGATGAAAGGTGCTAATCTTAGTTAAGAGCCTTGGCCTTTGCAGGTATTGCTGCCTTACAGCTGCTGTAAGGTAGCAAATACTTGGGTGTTAGAAGGTTAGCTTCAGCTCTTAGAACTTTATATTTTTTGCTTTTTCAGCTTGGGTGGGAATTGCTTACTTGTCACAGCGTGACCTTCAAAAATAGATTTGCTAGTAATTAGACTGTTGCAGCTAGCACAGCTCTGTTTCAGTGCAGAAATTAAGCAGCCTTAGGAAGGTGCTGAATTTAGGCTGACAGTCCCTGCTGAGAGCTTGGTACTCCAATTTGGGCTGTATACTGTGCTACTGCAGATAAATGGGACTACCAGGCCTAACCTCCTCAGAGCCTGAGTGAGTATCTCACTGAGCATATGTGCCTCATATACAAAATAAAGCCAAACACTGCAATAGTTATCTGTTATAATTACTTAGGGTTTAGCTTATTCACCTAATACTTACTCTGAATTAAACTGAAATTGTTAAATGGGGGTATTTAAATGTACATACATTGCTTTAATAAAGCTATTTGTGTATCAAATGTCAGTATAGGCATTCCACTAATGGTCACTTTTTTTCCTTAAACATGTACATCAGAGCTATCTGAATAACATTAAATTAGTTCTCTCATTTTTACAACTTCTAAGCTGTAGTATATAAATTAATTTTATTCCTAACAGCAGCATCAAATTGAACAAATCTTAGACAAGGTGGAGCTGTAAACTAGCAGGTAGAGCATAAGGATTCAATGTGCAGGACTGGTAAAAGAACTTGACCTGAAGAATACAGAAGCCTATGCCCATTTTCTAGGAATAGCGGGTCACAGTATCACAGACTGGGAACCTTCTTCTGTCATGCTCTCACCTTCCAAGATTTTATAAAAAAGCTAATTATTCAATTTTCTTACAACTTTTTTTGCATATTCCATGATCATGGAATATTTCAAAACTTAATTAAAAAAGCTGCCCCTTGATGAAGAATATTACTTAACACCAAATACCATAGTGGTTTAAGGATTTAACCAACCATCAGAGGAAAAATTAGCAGCATACTCCCTTTTGTCTAGATAGAGAAAGCTGGGTTTCATATTAGGTGCACTCTAACTTGTTTTGGTAGAGGACTGTGGTTTAATTAAGGACTAAAGCTCATCCTCTAAATCACATACTCTAGTAGACAAAAGTCACTTTCAGACCCTTAAAAATATATAGGGTTTGTTGAAAAAAAAAAAAAAGGGGGCAAGCTTTCCCCTTTGCTAATGATCAAATCATTGGTATTTATCATTAAAACTAACTCCCAGATGTATATCAAAAGTGACCTCAGCTAGAGGTAAGAAGCAATTCCACCCCCCAAGAGTAAACTGTGTCACATCAAGTGCATCTCAGCTGTTGCCCAGTTAATTCCTTTAAGACCATTTTGTCTCTCTAGAGCCCCATGACAAGGATTTTATAGGCTAATGATCAGTTAATTACTATAATTTTCAAATGACATTTTGCCACTACGAATTAAAAACTAAGAAAAAAACCCTAATTGTGACTGACTGAACCAATTGATCTCTTTAAATAAGACAGGTCATCAGGACTTGAGCCAGTCTTTAATAAATTAGACTGTATGAGAAGTCACATAAAATAGCTGCAATGTATCACTATGTTGTTGCAGTAGCCTTGTCTGCTATAGAACTGCATTGCCATATTATCCCAAATATTGTAACATGAAATTCAAGGCAGGGGAAGGGAAGCCTGGTAGTGATATTTTTCATTATACATTATATCCTATACTTTTAGTGTAGGACCTTCCTGAGAGCTGGCTTCAGAATATGTACTTACATGATAAAATTTTCATTGAGGCTTTAAGTATTAAAAGAGCCTTTTGATAACCTGGTGACTAGAGATGATTAATATGAATGATTTATGGGGAAAACAGAAACTCATGATTGGTAAGCAGCTTTATTATGAAATGTGGGAAATGGGAATAACCCCCTCCTCATTTCCCTCCCCTAGTAAAACTAGGAAGCAAAATCCTAAATAAAAAGATACTTTAAAAATGTTAAGATGAAAGTGATCAACTATGAAGGTTTGCACTTCAGCATTTGAATGCACCAGACTACTGAACACCCATATCTTTAAGCAATGCATCCTACAACCATTGTAGAATCATAGAATCATTTAGATTGGAAAAGACCTTCAAGATCAAGTCCAACCATCATCCATGCCCACTAAACCATGTTCTGGAGTAAAAAGCATATGCATCCATATTAATCAAGCTGCTAAACTTCTTTCTTCCTCAACTTCTATAAACAGATGCTGTTTTGAACAAAAATATTTGACTTGCTCAGGTGAAGCACAGAATGACAATAGTTGTCATGATGCCTAATTTGCTAGCAGTCTAGGTTGTAACACACTATGTCTATGACAACTTTTTCTAAATGGTGTTCCACGTTTTTCTCTTTCAGGATGGTAGACTAGCAAGCAGCGGTGATTTCCTGTGTTTTGGAATTTTAACATCAGCACCACTTGTAATCTGTAGCCAGCTGTGGCTAAAGGTGAAAATGAAAGTTCTCTATACATGATAAACCAAAAAACTAGGAATCGGCTATTAGTATTTTAAACAGTTGAGATTTCAGGAGGTAGTTCTGTTGCACCATCTGATACACAAGTTTGCCTAAAGACAACCCTCTTGATATTAAGAGGTGAGTAAAGAATCACACACTGTGTTGATTTTTTGTTAATTTTTGCGCAAATTACAATCTGTATTCATACAAAAACAATGTAACTCTTCTGACAAACTGTACATATAGAAACAAGTTTCTGTCTGGAGGTGAACTGAAATCTGTGGAGGTGCTCCATGTCTCACAACACTTAAAAAAAATTCCAGCTCTTCACAAAACAAAGTAAGGAAAAGAAGGTGAGGAAAACAGGGGTGGAGAGAACAAAACAGAAAACTAGCTACAATATTGCAGCTAGTAGCAGTCAACTGATCTAGGAAAAGACCCTTGTTAGGAACTAATGCACATTCAGTTATCCCAGTTAAGAATCCAGGTTTATGGTGTTGCAGGGTTACTTTATGAGTCCAGAGTAGCAGTCTATTTAAATATTGTCCAGCAAGGACTGGGTGTGACCCAGTCAAAGCCTCTTCTATCGGCCTCGTCCACCACCCCTAGATGCTCCTCTTCTTGATTGACCAGAGTTCATGTTACTGCCTCTTCCCCAGTTACTTCCACTCCTTCCTCCTCGAGAAGGGTTATTGCCTCCTGCAGGGCCTCCACCAAAAGCTTCATCCCTGTGGAATCCATCGTGATGGTCTCCATCTAAAGAACTAGACCTCCCAGATTTTGGTGCTCTCTGTGAAGGTCCTGAATTTCCTCGTCCTAAAAATGAAGCACAATCAGTTACTGATGTTGAAGTCTAAGCCATGCCTCTTCTCAGACATAACCATGTATTTAGTTAGTTCTTCTCTAGTATAATCATTCACAGACCAAATATAGTTGAGACCTGTAATTTTATGCTTCCTCCCTCTATACAGTTTTTCTTACATAGATTTAGTGTCTTCATTACAGTCCAGAAGATGGACAGCAATCAACCAATTCCTTGGTAATTAAAGGAGATTATATCTGATAGAATCAGCAGTCACTTAAATGAAGTAAGTTAGAACAGTGATAGTCATGGTGTCCTCAAAACTGCCAGGCATACCCAATTCTTATGCTTTAACGCCATCTGTGGTCCTCTGTATATTTTTATTGCAAAATACTTTTTTTTTTTTCCTAAACAAAGACATTGCACTAATGGATCAGTTGAGGTTGGTGGTGAAGACAATAAGTAACATTACTGTTTTGTTCCATTTTTTTGCTAGAAATAATGGAAAAATGCTCTATTTTACTACTAACCAGGAACATACAACTACATGAGCTCTTACTGCCAGGAACAGAGGATTTTCTACTTCTCACAGATCTTTTTAGTAATGATAGTGTAAATTCACATTGAAAAAGTCATTAGCTCAAAATAACAAGCAGTATTGTGAAAAAATTAATGGTAACAGTGCTTTATGGACACGTGCTACAGCTAAATTAGGATATTTTTGCTCCAGTTTAGAAAGAGTGATTTTTTGTTGACTCCGGTTGGTTCTATGTAAAATAGAGACTAAATTGTTCAGCAGAGTTTATAATTCATGAAGTTTTAATCTTCAAATGACTTTACCAACACAACTGAAGGTGACATAGCCCATATATATAAAAGTACTGTTTTATCAGGCCTTCTGCCATTGTTCTAAACTTTCTTTGGTACATTAATGAGTTGTCTAGGTGCAAGAAGTGTGGTAGTTAATTGTTTTGACTTCAGTAAAGAATCTGATGGAGTTATCAGAAATTATTATTGAAGCTGGAGAAGGAATCCTTACAGACTTGATAAGATGGCTGGCTAAATGAGAAACACAACATACAGTTTTGAAAGGAAAAATATTGATACAGAGGGAGTTTACAAGCAGAGTTTTATTAAAAAATCTGTGAACAAATGGTAAAACTGTTGATACAACACTGGAAATATAGTCCACGCAGAGGAGGACTGGCATACAGTTAAAACTAAATGAGCTTTAGGGCAGCAATAAGAGAAGGGGAATGAAATTAAGTGGCATCAAAGACAAGGCTGTGCAGTAGTGGTCTAACAACAAAAAATTAAACTATAGGCTGGCAGCTCAGCAATTGGAAGCAACTGAGAAGGATCTCTGTCACTGATCACTACCTAACAGTGGATAGTCAATATGAGGACATTAAAAAAATACAACATTAAGAAAAGACAGCAGAGATCCTGAGAAGAAGAAAAAGGATCAAGAACTGGTGCCAGGCTATTAGCCTGGATGATTGTGGCAATGCCATATACAGTAATAGGCTCTGAAACAGCTACTAACTCCAAAAGAATGTATTTTGGGGGTTATGTAGCTAGTTGCATGACAGTGCCATATGACTGTTTAAAGAGGTAAATATGACATCAGTAGCTATTAGGAAAGAATGGAGAAAATGGAACAAAACCAAGTGAACTGCAGAAATCCATGGTTTAAACCACATCTAAATAGAGTGTGCAATTCCTAGTTACCCAGTTTAATTTCCAAAAGGATAAATTAAAATAGTATTTACAGAGTAATAAGGATAGTAAAAGTTGCAGAACAATTTCCCAGAGAGCACAACTAAATAGATCAGAGCTCTGACTTGGAGAAGAGCTCATTCAGGTTGGAAATGGTAGAGTTCAATGCAATCAGAGGTGGCATTCAGAAATAATAGGGATCAACTTTCAACTGTTCCAATTAAAACACAAGACATCATTGAATTAAATTAGTGAACGATAGGCTTAAAATAAGAAAAAACATTTTCCTTCCTTTTTTTTTTTTATGGCACAGTCTACTGCAGTTAAGTTTTCGAGCTCTGTCCATGGATGTTGTGGATGTCAAAAGTTTATATGATTCTTAAAGCAATTAGAGAAGCACACAAAAGGTAACTGTCAAAACCCATTAAATATAAAAATAATATTTCAGTAAGTCACTGAACTACAGATCTTCATAAGTTTAGAGAGCATTTCAGAGACATATCACTACAGACTTACAGTGTTCTTAACACTTCCCTCAATACCTGCTACTGGCCATTGTTGAAGACAAGCTACTGAGCTTTACAGACTTCTAGTCTGATCATGGATGGCCATGCTTACACTCTTAGAATTAGAGAACTTGTAAGGAAAGACTTAGAAAAAGTCAGGGTTCATTAAGCCCAACAGAATGAAGGCTGAGACAGGAAACATATTTGACTTAAAGGACGCTAGCACAAGCACGAATATTAACAAATAAATATTCTGAAAATCAGAGGGGAAAAAAAAAGCTCTTAATGAGAGTTTTCCAACTGGAGTAACAGGGAGCCAAAACCTAACCGCTTTTGAACAGGACAATAAAGAAGAGGATTATATGATGCTGGACGGAAGATTTGGATTTGATGTCCCAGAAAATCCCTCTGTTCTTATGTTCCTGTAAGATCGGTCTTCAGCTTCATAGCTGGTAGGATCAAATATTTGCCAGTTCAGCTTTATCCTCTCTGAACAGATAAGGAATTCTGGATAAGCCTACTGTTGAAGAATGTGCCAGTGTTACCTAAGGTTTTCAATACAAGGGGCTTTTTACCTTTGCCCCTCTCCTCTGGAGGTCCACCTGGAGCATCCATTTCTCTGTGGTCAGAGGTCCCTGGTCCATCATGCCAGGGACGTTTACGTGGTGGCAATGAGGCCATGTCCATGCCCTGGAGCGAAGAAGAACGTTCTCTGTTAGCTGGAGAATGCCCGTCATGAGGAGGGTGATCTGGACGAGGACCTTGAGCATGAAGAGAAAAAAAACCAGGATAATAAGTAATGTTCATCTGATCATTATTCCTCATTTTCTGAGGCAGTCACATGAATTTACATACTTTCCACACTATTTGGCACACAATTTTAAGTTAAAATTACATACAGCTTCCCCCCATCCCAACAGGCAAACAAGCAAACAGGAGATGAATAAATTCTAAGAAAGCTAAAGGTAAAACAGGTTTAAAAGATGATGGGAAAGAAAGAAGTGACAGATCTAAAGTTTTCTTTTCAGTATAAAATACTTTCATATATTTTAGAGACAATCACATCTTCATTTATTCATGTGTCATTTGTGCTCATTTTTTCCATGACATTCTAAAACTCAAGTTTTGCCCCATCTGGGGTTGCCATTAGTAACACAGATGCAAATACCAGTAAGCTGTCAGCCAGCTGAAAACATTATTTTTGCAAACAATAGAGAAGATGTCATCCAAGAGAAAGATTACTATTGGCATTAATATACATTTCAAAAAAATGCCACGAGATATGCTTCAGTCATCCACAGGTGACAACAACAGGCAGTTCTGGCCTGTACAAAAATTCAGCTTAAGACCTTAAGGCTAGAATCACTTTTTGTTCAGTGAGACAGTTGCATTTAGAGCCAGTTAAATTCTGTACGGTTAATTTTTCCTAAACTTAAAAGTCCAAAGAACTACATTCTGCTTTTCTCATGGTAAAAGACTGGTAATGAGCATATGAGGTACAGGAAAAAGAGGTGATTTAAAAAAAAAAAAATTTTGTGTAAGTGGTTATATTGTAGAAGTTTAGTCTATTATCTAAAACAAACCTCACCAAATTTTTTACCTGCTTCTCTGTTTCCATCCCAGGGTTCTGGTTTCCGCCCTCCTTCAAAGCGTGGAAGTTCATCTGGAGTAGGAAGTAAACCCTTCCGGCCTCCTGAGCAGCAAGAGATGCAGGGGATAGGAGTGAGAAGAGATTGTATTAATGAAAATACTGTAATTCGCCCAAGAAATATCTCTGCTTCTTTATTCTTGCATTTCAGTGTGGAAGAATGTTCCCCTCACCTCTAAGAGCACCACGACCTCGCCCCCGAACACCATGGTCCCTTCCTCTTGAGTTTTCATCTGGAGAGTCAAAAGTGTCATCTGGCCCAAAATCTTCAGGGCCAGAAAAGCCATCTCTCCCCCTGGGTCCCCGACCCTCCTGTCTCGAGGGTCCTCCTCTTCTGAAGCTACAAGAAAGAACATGGTACAAATGTGGTTTTTAGGCAGAATTTAGACTGATAAACTTGAGTCAGCTTCATTTTAATAAGCAACTAATTTCTGAACTGTTTTACTTAATAGTATAGCACATACAGTTACTAGAATAGGATTTGTAGGTGGAAAAGTGCTCATTTTCTGCCCTTGAGCACTTTGTTTATTAATTTTTGTAATTTTCCGTCATATTTCCTTCTGTTGATTGTGTTGGTTTTTCATACAAGAAAAATATTGTCAAATATACTGCATTCATTTAATGAAAAGGGGGGGAAAAACAATCAGTGAGTTATGATAGATATAAGGTAAGGTAAGGAAAAGTTTAAGTGAATTTCCCTTAACTGTGGTGGTCTTACTTTCCCCTTCCCTTTTTTCCCTTCCATTTTAGTGATAAAAACAACCTGAAAAAATACAAGCAGTGAGAGTCACGGCTATAACAAAACATTCCAGCATCTCATTCCTATTGATTTGGGATTCTTTGGCTAGAACATTCTCTGTTTCATTTCATTCTTCTAAGTTTACAATTTTAGCAAATGAATCTAGACTGCACTTGGCTCTGTAGGAATAATGATTGCCTAACAGTGTGCACAGTGGCATTCTACAGCCTGAAGAGCAGTTTATCCAACTGCAATAATGAAGAATTTTGTTTTGCGAAATGTAGTTATGACACTAAAGTTGGTAATTTCTTTCTAGTAAGTACCGTGGCATCTTCAGTAATTTGGTATGATTGGATTCTGCATCTCATCTTAAATGAGTACATATAGCTCCTCCAGTATCACACTGGGGTTTTAACAGAGGTCTTCAGAGAGGAGAATAGTTCTTAATGAACTGTCAGTGCCATTTCAGGTAAGCCTGTAGATGGCTGCATGAATACTAGTAGTTTTGTTTTTTACATTACCAGTTTAAACACTTGGAGTGCTTGTAAAAGTGCATACATGTTCTGTGTATTACTGCAACTCCAAAAGTGCGCACTAGCACCGGTTGTTAAGATTGTCTCAGTTTACAGCCCAGTTTCTGTGCAAGCACAGGTGAGATGTTTAGCTGGTGCAGGCACACTGGTTCAGGAATCCTCACAGTGCAACCCCATGCTGCTCCTGCCCACCCCTCAGTGACAGCACAGATAATGCAGAGCACTCTTTGCCCATTCACACTGATGCCCCCCACCTCCCCTCTATTCCCAGTTCCACACTGGCCAAACTAACCACGATAATAGTCAGATGGCATTGGCTTTGTGCCACATCCCCTTCCCCAGCTCATTAACGACACAATGCATCCTATTACAAGCAAAACTTTAGATACTTTTATTTAGAATTTTAACAACATTAACCTTTTAATTACAAATTTAAATATTTTAACAGTAGTCATAACACAATACAATATTTTTAAACTTTTACATTTTTTTTAATTAAAAACAATAGGTCTGTCTCCACCTCCCAGAAAACAAACACAATACAGAGAGGAGGCTGCTGTGCCTGTATAGGTACAACAGTGGATGGAGGGAGTGCTGTGTATGGACAATGAACCATTTTACATTAACCTGGATGATTTGGGAAAACAAACTGAACAGTTTCAGGTACAAATGGTTCAAATAACCACATAGCAATATTGTTTAGCCTTGAAACAGCACAGTCCTCTAGATGTTCTTTAGAGGGCCTCCCACTTTAATACTGACATGGCGTGATTCTGCTTAGCTTGTAAATTACCAAGATTTGCAACACAAGGTCCTACAGCTAGCAGGAATAGGGCCTTTCCTTTTGTTTCCAAGCAATGTTATGGACACAGTTTAATTCTGAAATCTCTCATACCTATGCCTGACATAGCCACAGCTCCTAATATTGTGTTATGTATATCCTTTTTCACTTTTTCATATCAGTCACATGTGAAACCCTGCCTTGCATAGGGCTCAGTTCCTGTTTGACTGCTCTCAGATCTTCTTCCTTGAGGCCTAGGACCTTAATGTACAGAACTACACACTCTGCAGATTAGCAGGCAGGAAGAGGCAGGTCTCTGCAGTAGAAGCATCATGTTGATATGCACAGGTAGAGTAAGAACAGGACAGGGATGAAAAGGACGGGAAATTAGAAACACACATACACACACTTCCCTCTCATGCTTGATCAAACCAGTTACAATCTAAATTCCGAACCAAGTCAGCTAAATGAGTGGTTGGGATTCTTAACTTCATCTCAGCATCTGCAGTAAATGGCACCTAATTCACCTTCATTCAAAGGAATTCATTAAGTTTGCAAGCACAAGACAACTTTTATAGCCCTGTGCTGATTCCTTTTAAACCAAACTCTGTACAAACACTTGTACTCTGACAAATAGACTCTTCTTAGTTCAGAAGTCAGATTTACAGGTCACAAGGTTCTTGGACTCTCTTCCTGAAACCTTTTTAAGAATTGGGATCGTAATAAAATATTTTCCAGTCCCTAAGCATTTGCAGTATAAGATCTTAAAATCTCTACTGAGCTTCTAAAAGTGTTGTCTGCTATGTCTTTTAGAATTCTGTAATGCAGACTGTTCAGCTTGGATGCTCTCTTATTTTTACTTTTTTAAAATGGCTTTAATTGTTACCTTCTTTTAGTTACTGTTCATTTCTTTTCATACTCTTCACACAAAAGGAAGGTACATCTTTACAGAGCTAGGTAGAAAATAGCTAAAAGAAGAGCTGTATAGATGCAAAGTAAAAGGAATGTAAGAAAATGATTAAAAAGGCAACTAAAACACACAAAATTCACATTATGTGGAGACCACAATATATTTGTACAAGTACACATTCTTATACATATAGAGTTGGTGGTCAGTGAGAGGCTTAGACCATGGAAGCCAAATTTAACTCAGTTAAACTAGCATAAATCTGGAGCAATTTCAATGACAATTAATCTTGCTGACTTAGTGTAATTCTTCCATATTTACATTGGTAACTAGAAACAAATTTATCCCTTTGTGATTTATTTGGAAATTGTGAGCAATGACATGGACATTGCTGTAAATTAGATTATTTTTGAGTTCTTCGCTTGGCATTAAGAAATAAGTCAGAAAGAGAAATAAAATTTCTACAAGCCAAAACATGAGAAAATAGTCTCAACAGTCCAACAGATGCTGTAGCTCTGCCCCTTATATTTGATAGTAGGATGACTGTTCCTGCTCCTTACAAGTATATTATATCTCATTCTACAGTCTCTACAGTCATGCTGTATTTTGTGACTGGAGACAAAGTCTCAAAATCCACTTCTAGTGTTCAAAAGTTTGTCACTTTAACCTTCAAGTTTCCTCTCAATTTTCATCAAAACGGTCTCAAATCTTCATCCTGTGTCATTGGATCTTCTCTACAAATTTCCTCCCTTCTCTTTACTTACTGTTTAAAGACACGGAAGCTGCTGTGTACAATGACCATTTTTCAAGTTTTCTTCTATTACTGAATGATTTTTATGGACTCTATACTCAGGTATATTAGAGTTTTCATTTCCTTATTGGTTTCCAGTTTATAAATCTGAAACAGATAGACTCCTTAATGAAAAGGAAACCAGGAAGAAAGAGCTCCCTCCATTTACCCTTTAACCCAAAAAAGATGAGTAGATTTATTCTTACCTCTCATCTCGTCTTCCTCGGAACCGTGCATCCTCAGGATCCCGTGGATATCTATCATCTGAAGGTCTCCGTCCTTCCCAAGTACCAGGAGGCCCACGGTTTGAACCCCCTCCTTCAAATTCCCTGTGATCAGGAGGAAAGGGAGGCCCAGGTCCACCTCGTCTCCACTTTTCATCTTGCAACGGTGGGCCTCCTCTCCCCTCAAATTCCCGTAATCGATGGCCAAATCTCTTATCTGGATGGAAGTCGTCACGGAAGTCATCTGGTCGATCAAAGTCATCATGGAAATCTGGGTGAGGTCCTCGTCTATCTGGCATGCCCCTGCTGTCTCTACCATCACCCCACTCCTGGCCACCTCGAAACAACCCTCTCTCAGGCCCATGATCAGGACCACCACTGTTCTGGTCGTGCCTTCTATCTGAGAGAGGGCCCATGTGATGGTTTGGTGGACCACGGGAGTCACCTTGAGGGAAAAAATCATAGCAGATTTCTGTAACGTTTTCTAAAAACGCTCTAGGATGCTCTAGTTCGTACAGTTCTACAAAGCATACACCATACATCTCTCATTAAGTAATTTTTCGGGGAAAACTTTTCCTCTATATTCCAGTCCAAGTCTATGGAAGCTTTCCTTTCAGCCAAGGCCCTGTGCTCTGCTGTAGCCTTTTCTGTCTAGAGGCATTGCACTGGAACAGCCTCTTTTAGAAGAATTACTCACAGAAGAACAGACATATTTAATTACCTTTATTAAGACCAGGTCCTTGGTTGTGAGGGCCAATACGACCTTGTCCTCCCTGCTGCCCCAGTCCTGGTATCAGTGGTGGAGGACCTGGGTTCTGTCCATCCTATGAGCATATAATAAGAAAAGTCACGTGAATTGCCATGCGTGAGTATTTTTGCTTTTAAGCATTTTGTAAGGGGCAAAACAATTTTCTTTACATAAAGACTGCATCTGCACAGGTCTTATAATAGAAACAGCTGATTTTCTAGTGGTTTCAGCCTAGTTTTCAAACATTCACATCAGTAATGCTTTCCAGTCACTGTCTAAGAAACGCATCATTTCATAGGAAACGTAGCATTTCAAGGACTAACATTTTACCTGAAACAACCACTGATGATAAAGCTCATATTCTAGCTGCCTGTTAGAGAAGATGAGGAAACTGTGTATATTTGGTTGAAAGAAATCAGGTACTGAT